TAAAACAATTCCCTTGGCACAATAAGCTACACTGGCAAAAGCACTTGCTAGTATTTTTGCCTACTAGGGATTTTGTGGGTTTAAAAAAAATAAATGACACCTCAACCAAAGGTACCAGCCCACTGAAAGTTCCTAGAATAGCCATGACTTCAATCTTTACATCCCAGTCTTACAAGGCAGACCAGTATCAGAAAACCACCAGTGCTGTATTTGGTCCTCAGTGCTGGGATTGGACTAAACGATTGCTCGGTGTCTGTTCTGGCCTGTCGTTTGACATATTCTTACCTTCCACTCCTACTTTGTTTTTTCTCCTTCCCATTGAGAACAAATAAAGTAATTAGAAGTTTTCTTCAGGCAGAGGGAGGAGCAGAGGCAAAGTGTGTAATAAGTTTTGTCTGAGCTGTTTTCCTTTCGTAATGCATGCCCTAAAGCTGTGTGCTTAGCTGGGTTCAGTGTAATTGTCCCTATCACCGCAAAGCCTTCGGGACCTGCCCGACACAGAGCAGGCGGGAAGCACCAGCACTCACATCATGCCCCTTCGCTCTATGCCTTATCCAGTAAGTAATAGCCTTCTTCCATAGCCAGTCATTTCATAATCGAGTGAATGAAGCTTGTAGTCCGATTCTGAAGATCCTAAGTTTAAACCTTCCTGACAGCTCGTGTAGGTGAAAACAGTGTGTCATCATGTAATTGAACGCACTATAATAATGCAGACAGACAATTAACTTTGCACAAAGGAAGTTTACTCCTAGTTTTTGCACTGACAAACTTTGCTTTTCTTTGATTTAGACTTTAAGAAATTACCACAAGGAGCGCAATTATAGGATCCTATTTTCACTTGCATATTTGTTTTTGCCAGACTATGACCATTTTGCCGTAAAATATTAGTGGCCTGCCAGCTTGCTGTAGGCTACAGGAAGCTTTGTGTTTTTCCACACACTGCAATATTTTAGTGAAAACCTTCGATTATTTGAAAGAACAAATGAAATATACCTTTCTATGTCCGGCATTTATGCCAGGGATGTGTTTTTGCTGTCCTGTGAAAATCCGTCCCTGTTTAGCCCAGGCACACTCGTTACTGCACATTCAGCTTGATCCTTTTCCAGGGATGTACCTGCTTTTTGGACCAGGAGGTGAACCAGAGCCTGTGCCCGCACTCTGGGCTGGGTGCACCAGGGCAGAGGAGAGGGGCAGGGGCAGGGTGGGGGGACAGAAGGCAGTTCCAGCAGGAGGAGGAAGGGCAGATCAAGAGCAACAGGTGGGAAGAGCAGGAGGACAAAATAGGTGATGAGGAAGACAAGGGTCTGAGACAAGGAAGGGTATCCTGGCACTGAATTCAGACCTGGGCATTAGGAATGGGAGCTGGGGATGGAATATGTGCAGAAACAAGCAAGAGAAACCCAGGACTGGCAGGGGCAGAAATGAAGAACTTGGAAGCAGAAAGCTGAGACGGCCTGGGGCAGAGGCTGGGGAGTGCAGATAACTGGAGAAGGGCATTTTTGTCATGAAGACCAGTTGTAGGATGGGAGGCCTGGGCAACAAGAACTGGGATTGCAAGTGTGAGCAAAATCAGCCTGATTCTTATCAGACCGATAAGAGAAAGAGAGATTGAAAGGGATGGAGGTCACAGCCTCAGAAATAGCAGAGAAGTCTGTCCACCAGAAAACATTTTGTCCTAAACTGGAACTTCAAATGTGACCGTTTCTCTGTGGTCAGCAAATATCTATGAAATGTCTGATCGTTCTGTAATGCTGGTGTTCAGAAAGGATCACAGCCTATTCATGCTATCACTTACAGCCTTAGTTCAAGTGACTGCAATGTCCCTGTTGGTGCCAAAAATAAAGGCCTATTGTTTAACCTCTGGATGTCTGTATAACGCTGTGCAATTAATTTCCAGTTTGTTTGTGGTTTAAAGTATAGAATTTTTTTTTTAAAGATGTTAAAGTATTTAATAGGATTAATATTTGCAGCCCTGTTTATATTTTCAGGCTGCTTACAGAAAATGTAAAGAATGATATTTTGAAACGCCTATTCAGGCTTTATTCAGAGGTAGCGTGTGTCTGTGTGCTGTGATTCACATCTTAATGGCAGGATAATATTCAGTTGTTTTCAGAGGACCCTATTGGTATTTATTGTTCAGATTACATCTGATCTGAGGCTGAATGCAGCATATGCAGCAAAATATGCTTCCTGGAGAACCAGCACTTTGTTGTAATGTTTGAAAATTGGGATTGTAGAGAGGGCAAGGATTGCGGGAGGGATGGTCTCGTAATTAAGACGATTGAAGGATACTGTGGAAGGTATGATGCATCTCTGTGTATACCACTGAGCTTCTGCGTGATCATGTCGCTTCAACCCAGCATTTTTATTTCTGTACTCGTATTTTGTGTCTCTCACTTTTCAAGTGCCTGACTTGGAGTTCTTGAAGAAATACTAAGCACTTACAGCTGCAAATGAAATTGCATTTTGTCACGTGAAATGTGGTACAATGCTAAACATTCTGGAAAAGCAAGTCCTAAATGCTTCGGATTCTGTTTCTGAAATTAATAGATACCTTTTGCCATGTGTTTTATGTGCCTCAATTCCCTATCCATAAAATGGAGGTAACGTCGCTGCCTTATCTCACAAGAATATTGGGAAAATAACACAGTTGGTACTTGTGAAGCATTTGAGTGCTGTACTGACATGTGCTATTGAAAAGCCATTCTGTCTTCAGAACAAGGTTTGAATAGTGTACGATAAACACGTCAGAAAAGTTCAGAGTAAACAGTGACAAGAAAACAAAATACTGAATAGCCAGTCACTGAATGAGCAGTGTGCATCCTCTTCACTGATTAAGACAGGGGAAAGAAGAGCATATGTGTGTATAATGAAACACTGTATTATAACAGATACATCTGTAAAAGCCTAATCCAGTCCCACCGTCCAATCTGAGGATCTTTAACTTTTACTTTTCCTATCCAAGTCTTTGCAAATTTATGAATATTCTTGTGTCTGTTTTCTGTTTACAATATATATTAATGAACAAACACAGTGTTGATTAAGAGGCTGGGTAAATATAAAAGTTTTTTTTTCTTTTGACCACATTTTAAGTCCAGGCCAGTGAGGCAGGGTTTACAGCTGTTCCCTATCTCTGATATTAATTAGTCCCTGCCTGAGATGAGTTTGCTGAGTCTCAGTTCTGTTTGTTCTTCATCACCTTGCTCTGAATGCCTTTGGCAGACTTGGCAAAAGGGTGCACAACTGCAGGAGGAAAACAGTGGTTCTACATTTCCCCTAGAGGAAGCCAACTCTGCTGCTCCCAGGTGAGGGCAGAGAGATGCTGACAGTGAGTGGGAGAAGGTTGGATTAGTTCACTTGCCTCTCCGCCTCCCAGATACCAGATACCCTGTACCTTGCCAGCAGAGTACTGTACACTTTTTGGAAAGAAAATGTGACTGAAAGATCTGCTAAGTGCTCCCACGCACTTCCCAGCTCTTCGTTTTCCAGTGGTTACAGCCGCCGTCATACAATCCAAGTTGTACATTGGCTCTTTCCTAGCAAATGTTTTTCTCAGCAGACAAACAAGACAGGCACGTGCCCTAGTTTATGTTGTGTTGATGTAGAAATGAGGCATGATGGACCACTGTTCACATCCACAGCCATGCTTAACCTTTTTAGGAATAAGGGAAGAACTGTCAGTGAAGGATACCATACCACAGCATTGATTGCAATATGGTAGAATGTACGAGCTGCATAGTTACTAAATGGTATATACGGGGGCTGGGTTTTTATCCATAAATTGTGTTTCCGTACTCAAAGCACTATGAATAAATACACACATTTCTCCCATTTCAAGCTGTATTTACGTGTTGTGATAAAAGCAAAGCCATAGCAAAAGCAGAGAACAAGTATAGTCCACACAGCCTCCTAATACAGTTTTGCAGCCGTCACTGCTATGCTGTTCCCTTCAGAAGTGTCTGCATTTTAAAAGAAGAGCCACACAGTTTAGCCTTTGCCTACTAAATCTTTCAAGAAATACTCTCCTTCCATGATACCAGTTTCATAAATTATTGCACTGTGTAGAAGATGCTCAACTCTCTTATCTGATGGGCTTTCAGTACCTCACTCTGTCCAAAAGTGAGCCAGTAATTAACCAAGTAAAGCCTCGGTTTTACATTAATTTTCACCTTATGGTACAAAAGTTAAATGGTGATGTCATGTCTTTTATATATCTCCAATGTAAAAGATCCTCAGAGGGAGAGTTGAAATATTTTTGTCATAGTTGAAAAATAAGGTTTATTATGCAGGAACTGTGTGCTTGTGGACAACCATGTCACCTGTGTCTCGGCTTCCTCATCTGTAAAATGGATGTAATGTTCCTACAACTCACGAGGGATGGCAAGGTTTGATTAGCATATATGATTGCCTTATACAAATGCAACTACTATCACTGCTTGTTTTTATTAACTATCAGTAGCATATGAAGAAGAAACAGTTAGCAGAATAATGCTACAAGCAGGCTGAGCCCTCTCCATCTTTTGACCATCACATCATTTATTTTCAGACTCTGCCACAGAGTATGCATGTTTGAAATAAAACTATACTTATACTGTAATGCCATAGAAATTAAAGGATTTGATGTAGGGATTGACACACAGGCAAAACACCTGTTTTTAAAGGAAAAATGCCCATAGATATAATTAAATACCTTAAGCAAATTTAGATTTTGTTTAGAAAATTTTCATGAGGAAAAAATCTATTCCCATTTACAGAATCCAATATATGGAAAACACACAAAACGGTTTCCAGGTCAGCCTAAAAGAGTGTCTGGGAAGTGTTTTATTTGTGTGAGTAAATATATGATCAGCCAGGGAAAAGACTGCATTTTGAAATATGCTATGGAAAATAAATTCTACTGCAATTATTCTTTTTTTTTCCCTCCTTGTTTTTTCCTCTCCCTTTCTTCTCTCTCTCCCCGTCTCTCTCTCCCTCTCCCTCCTGAAAATCTCCTGCCACAGCGACTGCATTTGCCTCCAGACTTGTCAGACACAGTGAGCCGCGCAAGCAAACAGGATCTGGCAGAATCCGCCAAACTGCTGAGCTCAGGATGTGGTGCTATGGCCATCGGCAAGAAGCACCTGGACTTCTAGTGATTTCTACTTAGCAGTTTCACTCAGATTTATATGACACTCTAATTATGAGTGTTAATGACTTATATAAATATTTTTCTTAATGATTTGACCCAGCAGTCTTTAAAAATACATGTTGTCATATGGTGCCTTCTTTTTTCTTTTTTTTTTTATTCTGGTGTCTTTGTACTAATTTGGGGCTCGTTGGATTTTGCTTTTTGTTAAAGCTTCTGTTATGTTGGGTCCTGCCATTGTTCTGCTCGACTGGAAACATACAGTATTTTGTTCCTTTCCTTAAAGTATGAAAATTACTCTTACCCTTTCATTTCTAGATTTTTTTTTACAATAAAAACAAAAGGATATCTTTCCCAATTGAATTTTTATATATTTACATTTACTATTTTGTATGAATAATAAGTTAATTTGGACGGTTTATTGAAATAAAGGAATGAAACTAAGCAATTCATTGTCATGTGTTATTCCAAAAACAAACAACACAGTTATGATTTTAAAAACATGAAGTTTTGTAATTGAAATACCATTCTTAAATTTCAGGAAATTTGCAATCACTTATTGCATATGTAATAATAAATTTAAGATATATAAAATCATTTTTATTCTAACATGCCAGTAATTAAGAATGGTTTTCTTGAATCAGAATATGTTATAGATAATTACTTTGTCTTATGGCTTACCACATGCATTAAAATGCACTTGAATGGAATTTACTAACCATAGAGAAAAGAATTTATTTCCTTATGTAGTTCAGAACAGTAATCCTAAACAATTGAAGTCAGCACTATGAAATTATGTCAACAGACATAATTCAAGATTGAAATTCAACCCGACAGCTACATTAATGCTAGAAAACCAGAAGAGTGCATTTGAGCTCGGGGAAGGGTATCACAGCATGCTGGTCTAAAGCAGGGCAGAATATACAAGTAATTCAGGCTTCTGTACCCTCAGATATACAATTTGTGAACTTCCAACTATTTTGTATGTATCTCTGTGCATATCTCATCAAATAAAAGAACAGGAAAGCAAAGCTGACCTGTAAATTAAAGTGATTTGCATTCTTTCTTCCAAGGCTGACTTCCATTTTGAAAGGTAATATCTTCTTCTTTGCAGAACTTCCAAGCCACCCAGCTGTAAGATTGCATTACAGTTTCAAAATTTAGTCTTTATAATAGTGTATTACATGGCTGGAGTGAAATTGACTCTTCAAAGAACGTGTTAATAGGATGCAGCAATGGTAACTTATTTTGATGGGTTTGGAACCAAGAGTTGGTTAAGTGGTTTGCTTTTTTTTTCTGCTATCCAGGTTCTACTTTATTTTTTCTTGACAACGCTGTGTAAAACAAAGACATAGCTTTTAAAACTGTCTAACTAATATGATGAATGTCAATCACTTAAAAAACTCCACTGTAGCATAAACACATACTGTATACAGCTTTTATTCTGAATTAGAATAATTGAATCAATGACAGTGATTTGCCAGGATGTCAAATCTATCCATCATATCCTGTCACTACCAGTTTATTTTTTGTGATCAAAATCAAAAAGACTACTATTTTGTCATCAGCTATTTCATTAGTAGTAACAATCAGGTTTTCTCTTCTATATTTTTTAGATATGCCTGTTATATTTTTTTATTTCTAAAGACACAAATCCTTTTTAAACCTTTTCAAAATAAAGTTTCAGAACCGAACTGTCAGTTTAATAAAGCAAAAAGACATCTACTTTCCTATGCCAATATATTTAAAATATTATCATTGATGTCTCAAACATTTTTCTCTTTTTGTATTATGTGTAACATTGAATGGAAGTTCTCATTAGATACTTAATTGTGCCTTTTGCAAGCATGAAATAATTTAAATACTTAGGATAAAATGATTTTTAACGAAGGTGAAGTTTTACATAGAACGTCTTTTTAATGTAAATAACACAAAACACCGTATTTCTTTGTGAAATATAAAGTCACAAGACATATAAACTGCTGCCAACATACTTAAATAGGTCATTGACTTAACATACAGGGGAGAAAATATCATGAAAGTCACAGTCAATTTCTAGTTAACATATTAGCTGAAAATTAGCGAGTAGCACGTGTAGTCCACGTATGCATGTGTGTATATCTGTCCCCCATGCATTCATAAGACTTCAATTTCAAAAACTTCAGTAGGTTAATATTAAAGCTGACAAATATTTTGAATAATAAAGGGAACTCCTTCTGCAAATCTGGATTAATATTTTTTCTGAGTCACTAAACATGCTTCGTAAAATAAGTGTTAGAGTATACAGATGTACAGTGTTGTTTACCTAAGGCAAAAACATGGAGCAAAATTTCTCTTCTTTCCTTCCAAAATATTGTATCAGTTACAACAATATATGACAGTGACTTGGCTTATCCAGTAACTGATAAGTGAAATGATGCTATGTACGTGCTACCTGATAGTGCGTAGATGTGTAGTAGACATAGTGTAGATTTCATTTATTGCACCAAGTGCAAATTTGACTTGGGAAGCAGGAGAAGTGCCTACGTGGCAATTTTCTGTGACTTTTCCCCATAAGCACTCCGTGACTGTCAAGCACCAGTGTACAAAACATCCTTTGGTTCTTTCTTCTCTGGATTTGAGGATAAATATTTAATGAAGAGGGGCAGCTCAGGTAACAGAAGAACAGGTGCATCCTCTTTTGACAGGCTGTTGCAAGGTGCTACCACCTTCCTTTTGCATCTCCAGAGCCTCCTTGTTGGCTTGGATGGAAAATCTATGCAACTCCTACTTGTGTTCAGAGGGCCCTCTTCCACAGAGATGGTGGTGCCAGCATTTTTATTTGTTGCAATTTTTTTAAGCAGAACTTCCTACTTTTTAGCAGGCTACAAACTGAAACCTCCAAACTCAGCAGGGCAACAATAGATTCATCCCAGTGAAGACGTTCCCAATTCAACAGAAGAACCTGATCTTTACAGAATTATGACACACAGTCAAGAAAGCAGTAATGGAATTTAAAAGGTTGTGTCTTTAATATGTCAAATAAGAATTCTTTATATAATTTCTGTTGTGTTGAGGTTTTCAAAGTATAAGTATTTGGAACATGAGAAGAATATTATGATAGATTAAGTCTTTTTCTATGTTTGTAAAGAAATTCCAAAAGCAATTTCAAGGATGCAGCTGAATTCAATTTTCTGTAACAGTAACTACCAGCATCTGAAAATGAGCATTCAGCTACTTCAGATTTGATACACATAGTAGTATGCCACTGGTTTCATCTTTAATATAAAATTGTGATGTTGTTCCAAACCCGGCTTTTGGAAAAATGCACAAGTCTGACTTATAAAAATCCTTTACTATGCCAAAATTGGAAAGTGAGCTGTTAATCAATTTTTTTTCTGAAAGCACAAGGTCGTAACACATCCCTTTTAAAATGTATGTATATTACAAGCATTAGACACACAAACACACACATATTAAACCAGTGTTTCTCCAGGATCATTTATTAGAAATTTAATAAAGTATTATTCTTCTTTTGCCTGTGCTGGAGAAACATCGTCCATAACTACAGACCACAACAGAAATAGGAGAGAAGATGCTTTTATACCTTTAAGAGGTGGTGGAAGCAAGTACTATTCCCCATGACATCTCTTGGGGTTTTTATTTTCTCTTGTGAGCTACCTGAGTGCAAGGCCTACCTTTCTTTTTTTAATCACACTGAGCACATGATGATGCTTATTCAATAATAAATGTACCCGTGTAGAAAAAGAATGAAAGTGAATCTTCTTCATCTTAAGAAAAAAAGGCAACTCGAATGGAGAAAAAAAAAATACAGGAAAGAACAAATCCACCACAATTTTTTTCAGTTTCTAATCTGATATAAGCAAATGTTAGGCTCTTTTTTTTTCCAGAAACAGTTCATTAATATAGTGGATGCCTACATCTGTATTTCAGCATCTGAATGAATAGACAGATTTTCAGGAGTGTTGAGCATCAAGCATCCCGGAGCATCTGCTGAAAACTTGGCTGATTATTTTAACTTAAACAATTTTGAAAGTTATTAGGTACATCGAACCAATTTGCAGCCCTTCTGTTCCTATCAAAACAAAGACATCTTTTTTAGTACTTGGTATTAGTACTCACTTTAGTACTTACTATTTTGCACATGGATTTTCTGGTACTATAGAGCTTAATCTAAAAAACCTTCCAGAGAAGTCAGTGATGATTTAGACCAGGAGCAAGCTGGACAGATTAAGTCCCGTGGATCTTTTTTAAAATGTTAGCAGATGTAGAGAATTTGTAGCTGCATATTCCTCTATAAAAAATGTATTTTAATGTCTTCTGGCATTGAAGGTGATTGTTAAATCCAAAATATCGCAAGAATTATAAAAAGAAGTCTTCACTCTATGCTGGCAGAATTTGAGTCCGAACATTCATGCCCTCAGAATGCTCTCAGCACTTACAGAGTCAGAAGCATTCTCTTAAAAAGTCTTGAAACAGGTGAATTTCAGTGCACTTTCAGCTACAGTTTTGAAGTCAGGTGGGAGCAAACCACGCTAAAGCTCTTTCTGAAATTTCAGGGGGCTAGACTTACAGGAGAGCAGAAATGAGGTCTGGTTTGGGTTTAAATACGAAACGAAGCAATATTCAGTGCCAATATTTTGGGAAAACGTATTGTGCAGAAGAAAAGCTGTAAACTTGTTTAAAGTATGTTGCTTTAGTGAGTCTTTTCTGCAGTTCTTAGTAGGTATTTATTTATATTATCAAAGTATCTCAGAGCTACTACTCATAGATCAGGACTGTTTTGTGCAGGCATCGTTCTCGGCCTGGGTCTTGCATCGCTGCAAAACAAATTTGCCTTCCTGACCTATTTTAAATCAATAGGACAGGAATCGTTCATGGATCCAGCAGATGAACTGGTCAAACAACAGATGTACATCGTCTATTCTTTGTGTATAACAAAACTCTTGCCAGCAGCATAGCCTTGCACTTGGAAAAGCTAAGCTAATGAATAAAGCTGAACTCAGTCAAGACCAGATAGA